AGGTAAGGGAAGGGAAGGGAAGGGAAGGGAAGGGACTTTTTATCTGCTTTGAATGTTAGGCAGTTATTCTGTAAGAGATGTGATGTGCTGCTGTAAACCCACCTATTAGGAGTAATGTATCAGGAGGTTAACACTCAGCACAAAAAGAGATCATGTCCTCAGCCACCCAGAATATGATAGTTGTTCTCAAGCCTCCTTCTCAGCTGTGGAGCATCACTGTAAAAGTCCTCCCAAATTCAATTAGATTCCCTTTATTCCTTGGTGGTTTTTCCTGCCATGTCCTTTTTAAGCATATGTTTATTCCATCCTTCATATTTCATTTGTATACCCTTTTAACTTTCAGATATATACTTGAAACTCAGATGTATGTGAAACTGAAGAAGTAAACTTTCAAACCACTTTCCATTGCCATGTGAAAAAATTTAAGCCCCTTTTATTACAGTACAGTTTGGTAAAACTAGATGAATTAATTTTAAATGAGCAAAAGAGTAAGCCATAAAAAGTAATCTTTTTACATCTAAATATATTTTCAAAGGAGCTAAATTAAAGAGCTATTTTTTGTTAGATGGTACAATATATATTAAAAGCCAATTTGTTTTCCTGTGAAAGTGTGAGTTTGACCAGTTAGTATTTTTCAAACCAAATATGTTAAGAAGTTTCCTTTGTTTTGTTACTCATTTTGCCCTTGCTTTATCTGTAACATTTTTTATGCTTTCACCAGCTATATCTTTTATTGTGATTTTCATTTTCTTTCACCTTGTTGATAGAAATTTCTTCAAGGTCTTTCCTTCTCATACACACACACACACACACAAAACATCACTTCTAAATCATCTGGGGGCACCTAGACTTCTCACTAGTTTTTCTGAAACATTCAAGTTTTTACATTAATAACTGCAGATTAAGGTGAGAACACTTTTTTAAAAGCATTGTAATAAAAGATAAATTATAATTCACTTATATTGGAAAATGGGTGGCAACAAAAGTGTGGACATATTTGAGCAGAATTTGAAGAGATTAAGCTTCAAATTTTAGCTGCAACAAAGGACAAAGAATAAAGACTAATCGAAGGATGTTCCTTGTGTTTAGAGATGTGAAGTAAGTGGATGGAGCACAAAAACAGAAATAGAATTATGAAGTTAAATATTGTGTAAACCTTCGGGTTTATCTTAGATAAAACATGGAAATCACTCTTTGGGGCTCTTTGTCAGAACCATCATGCGACTTCCTTTATTTCCCATCAGTTACCCAGTATGGGGAAATAACACGTTGTACAATAGAAATGAGCTATAAATGGTAGGATTTTAGGTCACAGAGGAGAAAACAGAAAAGTCGTGTTCAGGTGGTTGGGAGTAGATTTAATCTATTCTTCAAACCCCATGGCACCAGATCTGCACCACTGTTTCTAATCCACTCGGTAAACCCTTATAGATGAAAATTACCTGTAATTGAATTGATTATCTTCTGAGGTGCTCCATTTCATTCTTTTGGTATCCAATGTGTAAGTGGCTTTCAACTAAATATTTAATTATTAGCTATTTTCAACAAATATTGATTGGCCGAGCACCTTTCTCTGTCCTAAGGATTGTTGGGAATGTAAACAAAGAGAACAAAGAGCTTATTTCCTTTGTCAATGACTTAGAGACTCTTCTACAGAGCTTTATGCAGAATAAAATCTGAACTTTTTTTTTTTTGATTGACAGGTTACTATTAGTGGACATTGAAAAAGATTTCTGAAGCATAAAAATTATCAAGTCATAGTCTACTCACTTTATCTCTTTATTTAAAAGTCCTAATGTTTATTTGTTCAAAGTTAGCAGCTTCCCTCACGCTAACTTTTCTGTGTTCCTTGAGGACCAGTTCGTCTCCAGTCAGCATGAGACCACATACGAATATATAAAAGATTTTTTTAAATGGAAATGCTTACCCATCTTCTCTCAGTGACTCACTTTGATCAATAATTTTTTAAATTGTTGGGGATGGGGTCATCCTCCGAAGTGTTCACAGTTCATATCCAACTACAGAAGATACTGGAGGATTATAAACTCTGCTTTAAGAGCTTCATCTTCTCTTATAGAGTTTGGTCTCATTCTCTGGTAAACTAGCAGCCCCAGGTACCTCACAAATTGACTAACTTTATTAAAGCCCAGCCTTTCCTTTTAATTCTTATCACAGTTGGAGTTATCACTGACTAGAGAGATTCATTCTGATTAGATTCTTAATCAGAATAAAAACAATTAATCAGAAAATAGATTCATACTTCTCTAGGGAATAGCTTTATTCTCAAACTATTTTTAAACACCAAATGCCAGAACAGATGCTTGAAAATAGAGCTTACCGTTTACTTACTAAATTACCAGTGTTTGAGGGAGTATTTTTTTTTAGGCAAAAAAATATCTTTGCTTTTGAAACCAATGCTTAAAAACCTTTTGGTCACTGCTATTGCATTTCTTATGTTCACATTTAACAGGGAGAACCTGGTGCGATGGGGCTGCCGGGACTAGAAGGATTTCCAGGTATAAAGGTAAGTATAGGGGTTAAAAAAAATGCATCCACTCATTCAACATTCAGAAATGTTTACTGAGCACCTCCTATTATACCAGGAACTGCTGTACGTTTGGGAATATAAGAGGGAACAAACCAGACAAAAATCTCTGCCCTCATGGAATTTGTATTCTAAGAAGCGGATACAGAAACTAAATGAATAAACACAAATAACTAAATAACGTTGTTGGTAAGTGCTATGGGAAGAAAGAAAAAGTAGAGCAGGTTAAAGAGCATCAGGAGTGCTGAAGGGGAGTGTGGTGATTTTTAAATAGGGTGATCTGAGAAGACAGGATCTAAGCAAAGACTTGAAAGAGAATGTTCCAGGCAAGAGGAATATGTTCTGGAGATCTGATGTATAACATGGTGATGATTGGTGACAATACTGTACTGTATACTTGAAACTTGCTAAGTGTTCTCACCACACACACACACACACACACACACACACACACACACACTGGTGGCTATGTGAGGTGATAAAGATGTTAATTAGCTTGATTATGGTAATTATTTCACAGTATATACATATATCAAATCATCAAGTGGTACCTGTTAAATATATACAATTTTTTTTTAAAAAAGGAAACAGTAGGTCTATATGCCCTGAGACATGAACTTTTCTGCTACATCCAAGGAGACGAAGGCAGTGAGTGAGGGGAGTGTGGTGGGAGATGAGGTTAGAGAGGTAGAGGTGGAGGTAAGGAATAGCCCTGTCATGGAGTCATGCAAAGCAATGCCTTTTAAAATATGGCCAGTAGAGAACCAATGCCAGTCTACAAACTCTTTGTTGTGGGTTTGATGGCAAGATAAGTGCAGAGATTGAGAGTAAGCCTTTAAAAACTTGTCTGAATTTGATTTCGCCATGATATCCAAACTATGTGATCAGTAGACTCATCTTGATTCATGATGTCTTAGAAAATAAATAAGTAAATCTGCTCCTTCACCACAAGTAGTTTGAGTAGATTAATAAAGAGGCTTATTAACTATTGTCAGGACTTTATCCTTCACTCTGAGTAAAATACGGAGCCAGTGGTGGTTTCAAAGTAGAAAGTGACAGGGCCTACAGCTAGGGAGCAAGGGTAGAAGCAGGGAAGATGCTTAGAAGACAATTCCTATAATACAAGTGGGAGTGATGTTAGCAGAGATCAGAGTAGAAATGGTGGAGGCAGTGAGAAGTGGCTAGATTCTGGATATGTTGTGGTGGCAGAGAGCACAGGATTTTCTGATTGATTAGACATGGGTATGGAAGAATAAAGAAGAATCAAGGATGACTCCAAGATTTTTGACCTCATCAACTGGCATGATGGAGTGGTCAGCAACAGAATTGAGTAAAACTATAGGCTGAGCCTGTTTGGAAAGGATGAGAATGATCGGGAATTTAATTTTAGACATGAGGCCGAATTTGGAAGTATTTGTTAGATAGCAAAGTGGAGGTATTGTCTAGGCAGTATGATATAAAAGTATGGAGTTTAAAAATAAACTCTAAGTAGAGATATAAATTTGGTTGTCCTAAGCATATAGATACTATTTTGAAGTCAGGAGACTGGATGTGATCACCAAAGGAATGACATTAGACTTTTTGAAAAGAGAAGAGGATCAAGGACTATGCCTGGAGCACGTTAAGAGATCAGAAAGAAAAGGAGGAACCAGCGAGGGAGACTAAGATAAAGCAACTGAGGAGGTAGAAGGGGAACTAGGTGCCCTGGAAACCAAGCACAAATAATGTATCAAGGAGAAAGAAGTGATCACCTTTCTCAAAAACTGCAGATAGGTCAAGTATGGTAGGGATGGGGTCAAGTAGGATGATCAAATATTGGCCATTGGATTTAGCAATATAGAGCTTGTGTATCATCAGAGTAATTATTACAAATTCACTGTATTGGTAGGAGCAACTGCTGGACTTGAATGGGCTTAAAAGAGAATAAGAAAAAAAATTAGAGATAGCAAATAGAGTATAAACAATGTTCAAGGAGTTTCGCTGAAAGGAATGCAAAGAAATGTGCCATTGGCTACTGGAGGAAGTAAGGCAAGGTTTTATAAAATAGATTTTAAGACCATAAAAATACGAGAATGTTTCTTATGCTAAAGGGATGATCCAATAGAAAATGGGGGGAATGATATA